GCTGGCAGGGCAGAGCTAGACGGGAACAAGGAACTCAAGAACCGTGAATCCACTTATTGTGGGCTGGGTCACCATCAGTTCCACAGTGAACTCTCAAATCTGGGCTCTCTTTGAAGCGGTACTCTAGATACTAGGAATGGTTGATCCCTGCAGAATGACGGAGATGCTGTCCCCAGAATGTTCTGAATAACAGTTTATGCATATTTTGTAGACTTATTCACTTGGACTTTTTCTGATTCTCTAACAAATTTTAAATGGCCAAAATATCACAGCTACGCCTTCAACTTCTCCACTCAGTTTCTATGTTCAATTACCATAGCAATTGAAGGAAAATGAGCTTATGTTAAATGAAAATATCTTCCAGTATAAAAGATCTTGATTTCTTTGAAGCCCTAGCAAATGATTACCAGTGATTGCCTGACTGGCTATGGTCTCATGATAGTTAAGGTTAGAAGTCACTAAGTTGGTTATTTACTGGCAGGCAAAATCACTTCTTTCTGGTACTAGTATAAAGATAGTCAGCTTCTAGCTTTGGTTGTTATGAGTGAAGTATGAAATTTACATCAATCTATGAGAAATAAACAGTACTGCTGAATAACTGCCTATCATTCTCATTAACGTAGCCTCTATGTATCTGGACTATATATGATCTGTCACAGGTACTGATACATTATTAATACTGAAATCAAAAAGCAGAAGAATAACAGGGAGTAGATTCAGTGCTGCTTTTTAATATTCACTTGACTAGAAACTAAAATGAGCAGATTCAGCTACGAAATAGATAAGTAAGGTATTTTCTAGTAAGCCTTTTCCAATTTGCATTCATATCTTTAAAGGCAACCCCAAAGACAAAAGGCTGCCCATCATACATAAAATCAACATGAGGCCCAAATACATATTTTATTTGAGGCTAGCTCATGAAATAAGTCATCAGAAAATGATCTGATATTAATTGTTGAGAGAAGAAATACAAATGATTGGATGCATAGCTTAATTATAAATAACCTGACAGTTTTAGAGTAGTAAAGAAGACCTATACTTCATCCTACATTATAATAGACATTTTAATAATTTTGTTAATTTTAATATCACATTTTATATAGAATTCTACAACAACATGTGGTTAAATAAATCAACAAAGAATAGGGAGCAGTGCAATGTTTTTCCAGTGATTTCTGTCAAGGTAAAAATATTTACTACAGCTATATAACCAGAGTAATAAATACTGAAACATAATTTTTTCTGATTTAAATAAATGCCTTATATCATATAGCGTTTCAAAACCTAGAGAATGCTGTGGTAATAAGACAATAAAAATCACAAATTGCTGGAAATTTATAACAACCAGCTTTCCAAAGTTTCAAGAGATGACTTAAAGCAGGAACCATATGCATTTGTTAGTTTTGTGACTGTGTTTATTATTAGTTTAACTCAGAGTAGAAGCCAAGATCAGTTGTCAAGATGATTAAAGCAGGTAATGCCCACAAGCTTATTTCAGACTCGGTCAGAACCTGCTTAGCCACGAGCCCCCTGGGCTCTCCCGAATCCATCAAATGCTGGGTCCTGGCCACATCTCCTTGAGCCCTGGGGCTCATGAAGAAAAGTACATTTGATTGTTCTTTTTTCTGATCACTGAACTCAAGAGATACTCAAGAGACCAGATCATTTTAATTCCTCAAAGGGAAAAGTTCCATATTAGCTGAAACAACTTAGATCCTTTTAAGGATCTGCTGCTATACGGGACTGTCACTCTTGAATGAACCCAAATCAGCTACATTTTCACTAGAAAATGAAGGGAAAATGTCAGGAAGAGTGTGGTGTAAGTAGCAGTTGCCACTGGATGTTTCTTTCTCATTATCATATGATACTTGATACAGTTCACGATTAAGCTTAAAGCCGAAAAATTTTTTTTTGACTTTAAGTCAGTCAGGGCGTGAATGACAATATAAAAGAATGATAACTTTAAAAGCAAACTAGGTTATCAGATTTGAAGCAATTACTTAAAAATATTGAATGTTAAAATGAAACAGATGCTTGTATTGCTTTTCTATTTGCGTTTTTCTTTCCATAAACGTAACCAAGTAATATTCCTATTTTCACAAAGTGAAAGTGCTGTAGACCTAAAGTAAAAACATGGGCTCAGGGTTGAGGAATGATCACATCAGGGAACCCCCACTAGATGACCTTTTCCTAATGGGATGTTCAGAACTTAATTCATGCATTTACATTTGGCTGTAAACAAGTTTGGCTACACTATTGCTGGGAAGGCTGATAATATGGGGGTGACTGTCACCTCAAGAGTGAAGTTTCCATTTAGTTCACTAATAGTGACTCACACACGCCAGTAACCCAGAAGGAGCCTAAGGAAAATACCCAAAAGGGGGGATGTTTAAGCCCATTCCCGTGAAACCAGAGGGGCCAGGATCCAACCTCCGCGGCGGGTCTGCTCCTTGGGCAGAGCGTAGACCTCGGGCCTGCTGCCTGACGGACTGCGCTGTTCAGGTCAAAGGGCCTTGAGTGGCTCACCTGACTTTGCCACCCAGGAACGGGGCAGTGGGAGGGGCTTGCTTCAGTAAGTCTAAACTGATAAGCCAGAGCCTGGCACACCTAAACATAGCTGTCTTCTAGAAGAGTCCTGCCACAGTAAGCAACCGATTTTTGAGAGAACAATCCACCCGCCAGACAACTATCACTTTAGGACCAACTTGACTGAACTGCGAGTGCTGGGGTAACACAGGAGTTTCTGCCCTGTAACAAGCTCTTGTAGACTAAGAAACATACTTTCAAATGAGTTCCTCTACGCTGCTCAAGTTTCCTGGGTTCTTGGACTACGGACAGAATGTCTGACATGTTGAACAACCACTTGTCAGTCTGGCTTAAGAGATAAGCTGGCCTGAAGGATCCTTTTCTCCCCGTGAAGAACAGCAGCAGATTGCTAAAGGTGGTTTACACTGGACTAGGGAAATATCACCTGAAAATCACCACATAGAATTTTTTCTTCAACAGTTGGATACTTTTTTCGTGAGGAGCTATGTGCCTTTGGCAGATAATGACGTTTTTGAAAAACAACTTCCTGGATTATTTTATTTTACAACTAGTGAATTGTGTCATTCAAAACAATTTTAAACACAGTAAAGGCCACTATAAGGTAATTAAGGAAGAAAGGTAGGTCTAAGTGTAATTATATGCTCAGTTTTCCACAAAGAACTGAAATTGAAGTTAGATTATCTTTGTTCAGGAAAAAATAATGTTGCAAGTAGCCCAAGAATGTCAGGGTGGTATCCCACAAAAATGAGTGCTTCACATACTTGTTTAACTAATCTAGAAATGAAAAAGTTTCTAATCTACAAACAAAAAGTGATGCCAATTATTTATCGTATGGAAAAAATACATGTCATATATCAGAATACATACCATGTAACACTGAGAAAATTCAAGCATTTGATATGTGGTAAATAACTAAGTAGAACTCTTTTTATCATAAGGTTTATTACATGAAACTTACATCTGACTATAAACCCTTGGAATTGTAATTCTCATTCAAGGTATTGTCTTTTCTATTTGATGCTGCATTTCTTCCTGATATCTCAGTCATTCTCCATAAATATCTTCACCTCATGGTGAAATTGCCTATTTGAAGGCAACAGTTAATAGATAAGAGAAATTTTTCTAAGCCAAATATATTGAATGTTTTTCTGTACTGCATAGCCTGGGAGAATCTGTTTATTACTGAGTAATGCCAACTACGTATAGAAAATATCAAAACAACCACTAAGATTTTAGTGAGATGATAGCTTTGAGTTACTTATTCTCACTTATTCCTCCAGTAAAGTCCCATTAATAAAACAGGAATGTGTAAATAAAACATTTATTTCAAGGCATGGCCTTGCAATGACTATTATTCTAAAACAAAAAATATTCTAGAGAGCCCTAAGAAAGGTCCACTTTTAAAAAGTAGTCATCACTTACTGGAATTCACGCTCTTCAGTTACGTGATGACTGTACAGCTTCCCCTTTCCTCCCTCATAGCTCTGTGATTAGCGAGCAGCTTACACCATGTGCGATTCGTCTTATAATTACAAAAGATGCTCATTCTATCTATAAAAACTTACTGAGGAAGCAAAGAACCGTTCACTGCCCAGAATCTAAATACAGGCAATACTGCCCAATTTGAGATGATCTCTTTCCCTTTCTAGTTCTCCTTCTGGCTGTCCAATTACAGGACAGTTTATGAAACAAAGGAGTGACGCTGTTTTATGTTTTACTTAAAAATAAAATGACGTATGAAATGCAGAAGGATTGAAAGGACTGTGTCTGAGGGAAATTTTGGATGAATTAGGCATTTCTATTCTGTCCTTTCAGTAGAAAGATGTTAATTTATAAAACAATGAATGTTGGGTTACCAGGGTCCCTCAGCTCCAGTCTGCAGCCCTCTCCACTCAGGGTTCTTTGCTGCTGAGTCTGTAACCTTACGTGGTGTAAATTCACAATAACCTGATCTGGGACCTCGCATAATCCTCGTGGTCTTCCTACAACTTGCCCCTACTTTTAAACCATCCTTTTATTTGAACTCTTTCAAACTATTCTATTCTGAGTGTGCCACCTCTTTTCTACTGGAGCCGATTATAGTTGGTTCTTATTTATTTCCTCAGGAAAAATTCCACTGATCAGCCAGGTGTACATATAAACAAAGCATTCATTTAAAGACTTGGACATTTAGTGCATCAATAATGTCACAGCACAGAAATATAATGCTTAATAAATGTTTGAGTCATTAATATACAAATGGAATGCATTTACTAGAAATACATAGATATAACTACTAGAAAGGTTTCTGACAATCATATCAAGTCTATCTTAAGGGAAGCAAATACTTTAAATTATTTCTGCAAAACTATTGAATTGCTTATATAGAAAACACAAGTTAGATACACCACTGGAAAAAATTTTCATGAACACAATTTATTTTTACAGATGCATATGTAAAGGGAGATATTTACCTTTTCGCCATTTTCTCCTTTGCTGCCTTCAAAACCTTGTTCTCCCTGTAGAAGAGAAATATGATGTGTACAATAGGCCCACTACTTTTAGCACATGTAATTACCACAATAATAATGGTATTGTTTCTAATAAAAGGATCAATAATTATAAATAAAAAAACATTTATGATATGTAAGATCTAAACCAATGTTGACATACCCAAAATATAAATATTTCTAAATACTGAAGGAATGATTTTCTTGGGTACAAGCTACAGTTTCATTACTTCCAATGCAGTTTAATCTCCATAAACCTGAATTTTTCTCTATATAGTACTTTTCTCATATGTGTTTTGAGAACTGAATATATCAACATAGTGTCTACAGACCAAGTTAGTGGTTATGTTGTCACTATTACTATTTAGTTCACTAGCTCCAGCTGAAACAGCCCGGTCAACCTGACTTCTGAGGGATACCAGCGCAGGGAACGCTGGGTGATGAACAAGTTCAGGTTCGAACCCTGAGTTCTAGCTCCAGCTCTGACACCAGAGTCGTGTTCTTCACCATCCACATCTGCCTCTCAGTCACAGACAATTGACTGGCATTATTAGGGCTGCTGGCTCTCAAACACCATATTTATTCTAAAAGGTATAAGTCCCCTGTTCTTTGACTAAACCCTCTCTGATTTGACAAGCTTATTTTCCCACTTAGTTCTGCACAGATATTTATAGTGCTGCTGTTTCATTCATCCAGCCAACAAATACTCACTGAATGCCAAATACATGTCAGACACTCACAACAGAGCCCGGAGCCAGCAAGCGGCGCTGGGTGGGCCATGCTTACCCCTCGACCCATAAGAAGCATTCAGTAAATATGCCCTGAGGGCTTGGGGCAAGTGATGAAGAGTTTACATCCAGTTGCTGTTGTGACGCTTCAGCAAAGTGACACGATAAAATTAAAATTCGTATGTTACACAAGGAATGCCAGCTTTTTACTCTATGTATAGTCTCTGTGTGTATAGAATATCTATAATCAAATATACGTATATGTATATATGTATACACACACGTGGCTATGTCATTTCTGCATCATATGCCCTCATGAAAATAAAAGGTTAGTATTGGGGTATATTTGTCACTGAATGCATGGTCTATATTCTACCACTTTTCCTAAAATACAGACTTGAACTCGATCTGTTAAGTCAAGCTGACACTGACACTGCTAAAAGCCCCCAGTACATGAGCCACGGTGTCAGCATGATGCAGCAGCCACAAACAGCTGCTGGAAAGTCCGAAACTATTTCCCGGCAGATAAATCTGTGCATCCCTTGGCTTGCAACTCAACTCGCACACACAGCACATGCTCTATCAATGATTTTTATTTAAGAATTGCTGTGAAGAAATTCCGAAGCTTGCCATTTCGTCGCTGCCAGTTCAATCTTATTCTCTTTATCAAGCCAAGCAAAGGGAGATTTTTCAAAAGCTGAAACTATAAATAAATGCCTGTCTTCTCTAATGGTAATTTTTAGCTATAGAGAAAAACCCGGACGCAGTGGTAACTTCTGGCATCTTGTTGCCAAGATCTGTAAAATCTCCAGAGCATGGATAGGCTGGGCTTCAGTGGGCATCAAATATTGCAGCAATAATGGTCTCCCCTGGGGTTGGGATTATCTGGGTGGTATCATGACAGCTAGCCCCACCTGAAGGGGCTCCCCATCCCTCCAGGAAACTGGAATAGACCAGTCTCTGTGTTTCCAGTAATGCTGGTTGTAAACAAGTATACTCTTTCCCAGGAGGGGAAAACAGCCCTTGGGCAGTAAAAAGATACACGTGGAGTCCACCTGGGTAAACAGAAAGCTACTAGGCAGGGAAAGAGGCAGCCTGATCCATACAAACTCCTCATTTACTGCAAATCTGTCATTCTGAAAGGACGATATTTTTTAAAAGATTACTTGTAGCATGGTTGTAATATATAACATTTGATGTCATGTAACTATTATGCTTAGCTCAATGTGGGACCTACAAAAAGGAAGACAAACAAGAAATAACTAAATAAAGCCAAGGGAATAAAACTCTTCTTTTCTTCGTGTTGGACTCTGACTAATAACTGAAACATTCCCAGAGCAGCTACATACACTTCTATGGCCCCTAAGAAAGCGCCATTGCTGACGTGTCTGGACCAGCACGTTGCTGAAGCTCTGATAAAGCTCTCTGCTAGCACGGTCCCTTTGAGAAGACTTACTCCATGGGGTCTCCTTAGGAAGACTAGTTAGTAGCTTTCTTAAAAAGTCTCTCCAGAAACTCAGTTTCATCACATACATTTTCTGAAACCTCACTACATTATATGCAAATTCAATATTTTTCAAGACATTAAGATTCTTACATGAAACATTCGAAAACTCTACCTTTTGACCAGGTAAGCCTGGAGCTCCATGTAAACCATTTTCACCCTAAAAGAAGTATAGAAAATAAATTATATTAACCTTAAGAAACAAATGAATAAAGAAATGTTTACAGTCTTTAAGACCTAGCTCTATTGCTGGGGGAAAGGTGGCCTAACAGTGAATGTCTACCACGTGCAGAGCTTTTCCATCTATACCTTATCTCACACCTGCGGAATTAGTTTTTCAACGTTAAAAAATAAGAAAATGAAGATTCTGAGAGGCTTGGTGACATGCTCAAGGTCATCCAACCAGCAGCATTCCCTGATATTTGAACTGAAGATTCTCTACTCCACAGCCCATGTTTTCCTACTTGCTATTTCTTTCATTTTTCTCTCTTTCAAATCTCTGGGCATAATATTGAAGTTTGACATAGGCCTTCTCTGGGCCCGGCTGTTCTCAGAACAAACCTACCAAGCAGATATATCATGACCATCTTATTACTGATGGTCACACAATCAGTAGGAGATAGAACTGGAATTTGTGTCCACACACTTCAGTTCTGTACACCTAACCACCACCCTACAGTGCCTCACGGAAGAGATTTAATTCTGGCTTGTAAATGAACTCATCTAAAACTAAATACATGCATATAAACATGCCTGTGCTTATGTAGGAGCATGTTTACTTTCTTGTTCCTACCTGTTGACTGCCTTTGGATCAATTTTGAAAACACTCCCTTGAAACAATTCCTTTCAAGAATTTTTATTTTTTTCCATTCACCTGGTTCCTGTCTTGGGTAGAAAGGTTTTCAGCAGAAACTTATGAACTTCCATTACTGGAATTCACGGGTCATCTCCTTAGCAAGTCTAGCTCTAAGCAGCACACATGAGATATTCCTGGGAAAATGTGCATATTCTCAATGATGCCTCAAGAATTCAACTGTTTATAAGAATTGAGTTGGGCTCCTGAATTTCTAGGTTTTGATGGCTCTCAATAAATTAACAATTCTACTGACCTGTTTTATTTCTTGCAAGCATTTATAATTAATGTACAAGACAGCAGTTTTTTAAGCATTATACAGAAGGACATTAGATATCGTTTCTTAGGATTTGTACATAAAATTCAAATATATGAAGAAAAAAATTGTACATCAAACTTTAAAACAGTAATAATAATATTCTGCCTAAATCTAAAGAGATCTTTAGTATTTCATTAATTAATACATTTTTGTATAATCTTAGTCATTTCTATCAAAGGTATACTGCTATACACGTGGACACATATTATTTTAAAGACTAAGGCTGTTCTTAAATTACCTAAGTGTTCCCAGTATAACTGCTATCATGACAGAATATACTAAACACTTAAGGGAGAACTCTGTTGCTTAGTATAATTAAGTGTTGAAGTATCAATAAAATATAGTGTACTTATCTATGTAATAAACACATTTCTATTCTTTAAAAAACCCTTATAGTTCTAGAGCCCAGGCATCACACAAATACATTAGAAACTTCTAATTTCATTTGATAAAGTGAGAGTAAAAGCACATTAAGTATTTCATGCCAGGGGACATTCGTAGAAACTGAGCTGCTGTTACTCATCCCAGAAGTATGTCCACTTGTCCATACGGAGCAGAATTATTTTCATCGGTTGGTTCAATATAATGTTTTGTATCACATTACAAGTTATACATGATAACAAGATACGGCATGTCATCCAATAAAGTACACTGATACAGTAGACGCTGCCAAAAATACTTTTTGAAAAAAAAATAGTGACAGTATCTCCTTCTTTTCTCTGCTCACAGCCTACTGCTATGTTCTATGTGCTCCAAGTACTGGCATCTGAAGTCCCACTTCTGGCATATGTCAGGTGAGGATTACACCCAGGCACACTGCTAACTGAGGACCAAAAATCTCTAAAGCTGTAAGATTAAGACTGTTTCTCTCTCTTAAATGGATACCGGTTTTATGATTATTGTAATTAAAATATGTTTTCCTGTGGCTGTGTTAATTGGTCCCATTCTTTCCTGATGAGGACATTTTTTTTGTAAACATAATTCTAAACTCCAAGATAACCCAATGGACACCACTGATTACTTTTACAGGAAATGTGTGGACTTCACATGACACTCAAATGCGTGTGGAAGATGTTGAGATTTTGAGTGAACACCACTGAAGCTTAAAGTTTGCAACTTTGGTATTCAGAAACCTATTTATTTTCTTCTCAGTGATTTTTCTCAAAGTTGCCAGAGATGTCCTACTTAGAAATAGTCATTTAAAAATCATTTGCCATTTTTCTAGGTCCTGTGGGATAAATTAGCATATTTATTTTTATCTCTATCTCAGAAAAAAAAAAGATTTATTAAGTAGCAAAAAATCTAAAGAAGAAATCTTAAAGAGAAAATTTTGTTTAACTGATTAATGAATGATGATGTTTCTGCCAGGACTTTATCCAAAACCTAATTTCTGTCAACAGAATGAGCCCTTCATTGTGCCCACTTTGAATCACAGTTGCAAAGCCCCTGTGCTCGAGGCAGCTGGGGTCAAATGGAATTCTATTATCAAATAAATGCTTGCCTAAAATTACTGGATGGACAGACCTTAGTTGCTTTCTCTGAACTCTTGCTGTCCCTTCTTCCTCCCAGTCTCAGGGCAAGGAAAAAGTAAGAAGCTTCTTTGGCTTCTAATCAGCATCTTAGCCCATAATTGAAAGAAAATTACAATTAATGTTCCCCATAACTACCATAACTTGTGAAACTTGTTTCTGAGGCATAAGCTTTCCATTATTTTCTAACAAAATGTGTATTTCCTTTCAAAGGGCTTATGTCCCTTTGCCATTACAAATTCAGGTACAGACTCACAAATGAATGAATATGTATAAAATAAAGCAGGACAACACCTCACATGGAGGTTGACAGCATTGTTGACATGTTATAACTATAACATGCAGAGTATCTCCAACTTCACAGAACAACCTAAAGCACCCTTTCCAGAGCTCAGAATAACCTCCTTGACAAGCTTTTAGAAAAAAAAAAACTTAAACTAAGGTGTGATTTAGGGCTGGCTGGTGGATTTCAGGAAAACCAATCCAAGGATTTCATTTTACCTTCTTTTTATCACTGCACACTTCCCTGAAGTAAGCGCAGCTAGGCATAAAAGATCAATTATTAGTTTTCCTGGTTCTTTTGCTATTGTGATCTATGTCCTGTTACACAGGAAATACATGTTGACTGAAGGACACCTGATAAGGAATCACATTCCCTCGGACTATCGTTTGAAAACTGGTACCAATGAAACCAAGCAAAGAAGGGCCAATTAAGCAGGTAAACAAAAATTTGCTAATACCTAGACCTAAGCCCAGAAAATAGAAAGTTATATACTATGTTGTAGTTATTTTTTTTCTTTAAAAAGTTAGACATACAGGCTCTGACTAAAAAGTGTGAGATCCTATTAGAACACTTGTTTGCATATTAAAAAATTTAATTTGACCTATCACTTCATTTATGACACATTTTCCAGGAATATAATTATCCATATTAATTTAGTGCACACTTGGAGATTGATAAAAATTTTTGCAGTAGTTACTTCAAATTCACTAAGAGAAATTTTACTTGAATGAATGTTGAGTGAAATATCTGAAAGAAACATCTGAGGTGAAATGCCAGAACTGCAGCATGAAACCAATCAAAGAGGGAGCTAAAAGTAAATCTGATTTCGATTTTGTGTATCACTAACTTGACCTCTACACTTCTGATGCTAGTCTGGCTCTGCTCAAAGCTGTCATCTTTGGAAATTCAATTTTTATACGGCTCTTTAATTGTTGTCTCTCAACTAAATGTTTCAGGAAATAAAATTCATACTTCCTATATTTTTCAGATATCCAATCTGAGTCCTTTTATTTCAGGGAGGAATATTTTTTCCTTCTATTTTCTGGGACTTCATCATTCCAAGAAATAGCCAAGTTAAGAAAATATACCACATAAGATTTAAAACTTCAAACTTTTTGAATTCTTTGCATTTGTTGGATCCTTAATGCAGCCAGCACATGGGGATATATTATCACAGTAATGCTCAGGATTAGGCAAATATAAAACATTCTTAATCATCAAATGAAAGAGGCCCTATTATTACTTATTCTTGTGGGTCCTTTCAAAGATGCGAAAACCAGTCTACCAAAGATAATGTATGGTTGACACATGTCTTAATTCTAGTATATATAAATATGGATATTTACATAGATATTATAAATTATAGAATATATAAATATATGTAAATTATAATATATAAAAATTACAGTGTAGTATAAATATGGGAAACTAGTAGCTATGTCTCAAAAACCAACCTGAGTGCATACATATGTATGGGTACACAAGTATACACAGTACACATACCTAGAAAACAAGTAGAATGGGCATTCTCAAATATAGAGGCAAGTATAAATTTATATCTAAGACCTCCACTAAAGAATCTGTTACGATACTGACTCTATGAAAGCTTCTTAAAGTCAGGCACTTTGCTGTTTAATTCATATTGTGGAGAGCAAAACAAAACAATTCTGTGTGGATACTGGAACAATGCTTTCTGAACCCAAATTAACCTTCCCCCCCAAGTCTCTGCCCATTGGTCTTTTTTCATACAGGAAATATATCTTATGGGTCTTACATGTTATATCCCTTTGTGTCACTGTCAAGCATATAGTAAACCAATCATCTTTCAAATGATAGTTTGGAGTTCCTTAAATATTATAGTCACTGTTCTCTGGGCACACACTGGTCAGCCAATATGTCTTTTTAAAATATGGCATTCATAGTTCAGCACTTCATTCCTGAAATGGTCTTACCCATACAGAATAGAGAGTGGGACTGTCTCATACACACACACAAACCCCTCATTCTGCATTCTATACAGTACGTCCATTAATATGACTTGCTTTTTTTCAAGCTAAATTGCTTACTATACATTGAGCTTATTGGTCAACTACAACCATTAAGTTTTCCTTTTCAAAGGGAACATAATTTACTCATTTTTCAAATTAACTGAATATAAATTATACTGAGTTATACA